GGCACTGCACTCTCTGAATCTGGGGAAGAGGAAGCATCACCCCTAGATGCCTGTCCTGCTGTCTGTGGTCTTTGGGCAAGTGTGGAAGGTTCCTGGACCTCCCCCCCCACCGCCTCCCGCCTGTTGCTGCGGGGACAGCCGGTGGACGCACTCGACCTGGGAGGGGGGACTCCCTCTCGGGACCGCGGGAGGGGCGTGCACGTTTGAAGGGATGGAAATCTCCCTTTCTGCCCACCCCCTTTCTTTTGTCAATTACTCTAAGGATGTTTGGCCGTTACTCCTAGCTTCCCTCTCTTTGGTTTTTCACGTCAAGGGTGTGAATTCGGGGGTGCTCCATTTTCAGGGGTTTTGGTGATAGGACTGAAGTTTTCCACATTGTCCATCTTACCAGAAGCTGTTATTCAGGGTGAGGAGTGGGCTAGAAATAAATAGGTGTAGGCCTGACCCAGCGGAAAGAGAAAGACGCTCCCAGTTTGGATGCATTTGGAGAGAGAGTAACTGGCAAGTTGCATTTTGTTTAAATTAGAGCAAGATGAAGTTGAAAGCCAGATTTCTATAATTTTTCTGGTAATATTTCTTTTATGAAGTATCTAAGTGTCTGTTTGTCATCATTTTGAGATCAAAAGGAAAATCCATATGCTGTATAGTTTTTCGAAATTGCTATTTAAATATGTTTTAAATGTTTTGTCCAACGTGGAGTAGGCTGCTTGGAGGCAAGGCTGGTGACAGGAACAGCGGGATGGTTTACTGTGGAGTGGTGCTTCCAAAGACCTGGTGAATCACTGGAATCACCGAAGGAGCTTTTTTTTTTTTTTTTTTTTTTTTTTTTTTTTTAATGTAAAGATTTCTGGGCCCACCCCACCGAGGTAATCAGAAGAAGGACCTGGGAATCTGGGGGTCACCCTGTGTCTTTAATTACTGCTCAGCTGGTTTGTTACTGACTCTGTGACCTTGATTGTGTTACTTAATCTGTTTGAGCCTCAGGTTTTATCTGTGAAGTGGGGATAATATCCAAATCATAGATTTATTGACAAACTTCTACATGACTAAACTTGTTCAGCACATGACTAGTGCTCAATACTTGGAAGGTATATTGTCCACAAATGTGTGATCTGTACACTCAAGCTGACTGACATGTATTCTTATAAGGACCTATCCCTACCCCCAACGTTTTGGTGAAGCAACTGGACTGTCATGGGATATGTATGTGTATGCACATTTTAGCTCATGCATAGTTGTCACCTTTATATGATTTCCCCTCCTCCGCCTTTTAGGCCATAAAATAAATTAGAATTGGCACATTTGGAAGCTAGGCCCTGTGCTCTTGGACCTAGAACTGTCCATCAGTCCTACTGGCAAAGTGGGGCATTTACCAATCTGAAGTCTGCTTCCTCCTCCACCCCACCCCCGCCTTTTTTGGCTCTTTCACCTT